GCTAGATCAGGTCCTGGAGATTTTTCCACCTTATGTGTTCTAAGACCTCCAGCACTTCCTCCTCTGTAATGTGAACTATTTTCAAAACATCAATATTTATTTCCCCCGAGTTCTGTAGCCTCCAGTTCTTTCTCCATAGTAGAAACTGACGCAAAATATTCATTTAATATCTCTCCCATTTCCAGGAGTTCAACACTAAGTCAACCTCTTGGATCTTTAAGGGGCCCTACTCTCTCTCTAGTTGCTCCCTGGCTCTTAATATACTTGTAGAATCTCTCTGGATTATCCTTCACCTTATTTGTCAAGGCTATCTCATATTCTCTCTTTGCCTTCCTGATCTCCCTCTTAAGGATGCTTCTACAGTCTTTATACTGCTGAAGAGATTCATTTGAACCCAGTTGTTTATATCTAGTATGATTGATTATTTTTTCATTCTTGACTAGAACCTCAATATCTTTATTCATCCATTGTTTCCTGACCCTACCAACCTTACCTTTCACTCAAACAGGGACATAATGACGCTGATCTCTTGCTATCACACCTTTGAAAGCCTCCCACTTACCAGACGTCCCTTTCACCTGCGAACAGTCTACTCCAATCAACTTTTGAAAGTTCTTGTCTCAGACCATTAAAATTTGCCTCACTGCAATTAAAATCTTTTAATTTTATAGAAGGCTTATTCTTTTCCATAACTATTTACAAGCATTTAGAATTATATTCACTAGATCCAAAGTGTTCCCTTACTACCACTTCAGCCAGTTGCCCTGTTTTATTACCCAAGGGAAGGTCCAGTTTTGCTCCTTCTCTGGTAGGAGCATTTATCAATATGTAAAGAAAATTTTCTTGAATACAGTTGACAAATTTTTCACGAACCAACTCTTTAACACTATAGTTGTCCCAGTCGATATTTGGAAAATTAAAATCACTACTATTACAACCATATTATTCTTCCATATATCTGAAACATCTCTACATATGTGTTCCTCAATTCCCCTCTGAGTATTGGGGGAGTCTATAGTACAATCCCATCAAGGTACTCATTCCTTTTTTCATTTCTAATTTCAACCCGTATATCATCTTTGGTTGATTTTTTTTCAGAAATATCTTCTCTAGTTACAGCAGTAAATGGTTTCCTTGATCAAAAATGCCACTGCCCTCCTCTTTTTGCCTCCTTTTTCTACCCTTCTGATAGCATCTGAAACCCAGAACATTGAACTGCCAGTCCTGTCCATCCCTTGGCCACATTTCTGTAATAGCTGTGCTATCCCAATCCCATGTTCCCAAGTGTGCCCGGAGTTCATTAGCTTTACCTGTAAGACCCCTTGCATTGAAATAAATGTAGTTTAATTCTTCAGAGTTATTTTGTTCTCTGGCTCGAAAGGGGTTTAGGACAGATACATCAGAACCATACCTGGTTGTAAATTGTTAGAGTCACAGTCATACAACGTAGTAACAGGTCCTTTGGCCCACCGTGTCTATGCTGATGTTGAGCTATGAAGGCAAGTTGCATGCAGTTGTTTTATATTGCTGAGGGGTGACCTAATTGACGTGTTTAAAATTATATATGGATTTGATGGTTTCTTTGTAACTACTGTATTTCTTCTAGAAATTTAGAATAAGGGGTTGATGCTAAATGTGATTGGTCAATTAGCAGTAAGATCAGGGATTATTTATCCACACATGAGAGAATGGAAACCTGGCACTGCGTTCCCCAAAACAGTGTGAATACAGAGTCAACTGAAATTTTCAAGACTTGAAATTGATCAATTTTAGTTTGGTATGGGTATCAAAGGGAGTAAAGTAATTGTCATTGATCAGCCATCAACAATTGGAATGTTGGAATGCATTTATGAAGTTGTTTTGTTTTTAAAGCAGCATTTTGAGAACCAACTAATTATATATTCTATCAACGTTAGTACTTGAATATGGTAAAATGTAGCCCATTGGGGCATTGTTGTAAATCACTATTTGAGTCTTTATTGATGGATGCTGTTTTACCAATCTTTGTGCACTTAAAAGGTTCAAAAGCTGTATTAAACTTGTTGGACCCAGACAAGCAGTTGGTTCCAATTCAAACATCAGAAGGTAGAAATTCTGATATTCGTAGGACACAGTAAGCATCAGATTGTTGTTTGTGATATGGTAGGAAGCAAGTATAAAACTGCTTGTCCTTTTTAAGTAACCTCTACAGGATATTGATTGCATTCTAGGTTTTCTTATTTTAGCTATTTTAGCAGTATTAACAATATAATTGGATCAATTTTTTTAAAAATGCTAATATTTTTCTAAGGCTGTTTGTTTCTGAGGTGGATAAAATTTCAATGAGTCATTTGCTTTATTGGATTCGTGATAATGGAGATAAGTTAAAGCTTGCAATTTGTCAATCTGTTGCAATTCATTTCAGAGCATAAACTTCTTTTGAAAGGCCGTGTTTATAAGAATTTTGTCAGTTTGCAGAATTGGAGAGTATTGAAATCTTGTGACATCAGAGTTTGTGACTGTGGTTTGTGGTCAAAGTTGCATTTCGTAATTCCAAATTTGAAGAGCTGGCACTAGTTACCTAACTTGCCCTAAAGATTCTAACTTGATACATAACATTACACGTATCCTATTTGCTTTCATGAAGCAGCTTCAAAAATGCAGGGGCTGGTGCATTCTTTGCTGTTGCTGGGAAATGTCATATATTGAGTTTGTATTTATCTTGAAATGTTGTAGGATAAGTGCTAAGGAACAGGTTTATTACTAGATAATCTGTCCCATCTATTGGCACTGTAATTGGCAGTCATTGATGGTGAGAGGGGAGGGTTTACTTCTGGAACAATGTGAAACAGTTAACTATTAAATTCTTTTCTAATTCTGTCAAGTAATTCGTTTTATTCTAGGAACCTCTGCTACTTTTAGTATTTTCAGTATTGTTTTAAGATTTCAGTTAATTTTTATGCCAACTTTAAATGAGTTGCAATTGAGGCATTTCATAAAATAATTAATATAATTTTCTCATACATATTATTGGGCTACTTCTTTTGTACAAATGATTTACAGGGTACATGGTACAACAGATGTGTTGTCTTTTGTCCTCTTCTCTTCTAAAACAGTCTGTTGAAATTTTAACTATGGGCATTTTAAAAGTGTGTTCCAGCCTACGCTCTTCCATCTTTTAGATGCGACACATTCCATTAAAGCTTAAAATGCATCTAAACATCACATGGGTACATTTTTCTATATTTGAAGATGTAAGTATTTAAAAGATTTGTCCTGGTTTATATACAACATACAGTGTTGATGTAGTCCATTTCGAGTAGAGATTCTGGGACTGTTTCAAATGGAGCAAAAAGCACATAGTTCTAGATATTTTCACATAGGTGTGAATTAATTAAAGACTTAACGATTTTTACTATCGACAAGACTGAAGAAAAGGCTTTTAAAATGTTGCAGGTATGCCTTAATAAGAATTGAGGTCGCAAAATGTGCACTGCACCTTGAATTTGCACATTATGTCCCTGCTTTTGCAGTGCCATTGGGAAAAGCTAATGGCTTTCAGGCTCAGGGTTTACTGTAAAGCCAAGATTGATACTGTAGATGTTCACAAGAAGTTGGACACTGGACATGCTCATACCATTAGAATTAAACTGGTCAGCTTTTATCTCTTGTCTAACTGGTGGGTTAAATACTGTATTTAATTGGCACTGTCGTGTGTATTAAAGCCCATCATTGCTGCTCTTCTTTCAACTGAATTAATGTCAGTTGTCAAGTAACATAGCCAGTAGCTTAAGTCCTTAATTACATTGAATTAGCAGTGGTTAAACTATTGAATTTCATTTTCTTACTAACCTGTTTAGATCAGTTTCTGCTGTTAAAGTCAGTTTCTGGCTACTCATCCTAACATTCCAGTGCATGCATTTTTTGTGTTGTGAACCTGTGAAGTACTTCAGGGTACCAAGGACAACATTTGGGTGAATATAGTTCTTCCTTCCCAAAAAAATGCTGTCGTATACAAAGAAATTGTAATCTCTAAAATAATAATTTGATTTCAGTGAACCTAAAACCTGTAATCAATATTCTTAATCAGATGTTTCTTAAAAAAAGAACTTTCTCACTTGTGATGGCGATCAAAATGAATTTCAATTTTATTTAAAATTGTTTTGTTTATTTTTTCTGTGCCCTTTTTTATTACCTTGTGTATTATCTCTCATTTTATATCACATTGTTAATTCTAACTCTACTTTTTTTTTGTCTGCAGTAATTAGTATTTAATAGTGATGTTTTGTCACATGGAGTTCATGCACATTGCATTTGAAGTCCTGCTTGCATTTTTTGTTGAGACCTGCCTCTCTCGTTATCTTGATGTTGCGAAGTGTCTTTATGTGATAGTTTTTTTGGAAGACCATAGCACAACCTTTGGAGTTATCCTTGTTCACTATGTGCCCAGTACATTGTGTGAATGGGCAGGTACTGGTGATGTGATGTCCCTGGACTAGTAATCCAGAACCACAGGCTAATGCTCTGGAGACATATGTTTGAATCCCACCATTGTAGAAGGTGGAATTTGAAATTGGAGCTCTTTTGATGCTGTGGTAGTGTTATCCCTACCTCTGAACCAGAAGGCTTGGGTTCAAGTCCCACCTGCTCCAGAGATGTGTACCACTGCCACAGCCTAACAAAGTCATGGTTAAAATTGCTAAGCAGCACATGTTGTGATTGAGTCAGGATAGTCATTTAAAGATCCGTTTCTCTATTATTTTTGTGTTTCCTAATGCATCCTAAAAAGAGGTCTTGTTTACATGGATTCTTTGTTAATCAAGGAGGTGTACGCAGTTCAGAGTCTGCAATTTGAAGTAGAGGAGAAGTTCTGTTTTGTATACATCATAAATATTCTGTAACCAGTTAATACAACATTCATCCACTATATCTAATTACGTGCGTTAGAATACGATGGATCATTTGCTCCAGCATTCCATATTTTAGTTTGCTTTACTTAATGAGTATTTTGTTTTTCGCAGCATTAATGAGAGTTTCCTGACTGTAAAGGGTGCTGCCCTATTCTTGCCTCGAGGAAATGGCTCAACTGCACCCAGAATCAATCACCGACGCAATAAACATGCAGGTAAATGCCATACAAATGAGAAATCATTAATTTTTGAAATAAAATTGTAGCAATGCTGAATTTTAAAAAAAGCACAAATGAATATGCTGATAGAGATTTTAAATAGTCGCTGAATAGATTCATGTACCCTCTCTTTCACACCTATGTTCAATACTTTCTCTTGCGCATGATACTAAAGCAGTTTTGATTTGCATTTCACCTGGACTGGATAAGCACTGTTCTATACTCAGTAACTTTCTCAGCATTCTTGCTGATGCGTTGTTACTGATGCTACCGTGTCTGTTAGCATCTGGATTTAACAAAGCCGGAGCATAGTTTTTATTAATAATAATGTGTGGGAGTATATATTAAGCTTTCTCATGATGAGGAACTAAGCTACTGGAAGGATGAGTGCTGGAACAGCTGTAATTCTTGAAACCAGAAAAAGGAAGTTAATTGTACTTCTGTTCTAGGTATTAAGGGCAGGGTGAGAATTTTCACTTCAGTTCAACTGCTGTAGCAATAAACACACGCAAGACTTGAAAGCTTTGCAAGATTTCTCATCTGACTCCGTCATCTTGGAAAACAACATTTGCATTGCTCAAGAATACTTCTTTGAAAGGATTTTTATGACTTTGTGACAAGTTTTTGGTCAGTTCAATGATGTAATTTGCACTGTGGAAATGTCCCTTGTAATAATACCACTACATCTCCAATAGCAGTAGAAATCTGCACATTGTCTCTTATCAGGTAGTCTATTGTATATTGTAGTCTAATTTCTAGAGCAGCCAATTAAATATGAAAACATGCAACGTTTTATAAACGGTTTTGTTTGTGACCTGATTAACATAATACATAAGAGCTGTAGATCCACCTTTCAGTGGACCATTTTTTCTGCAATTATTGAACTTCAGAGATTAGACAATAAATTTCCGATAAAGAGACACTTATTGCAGTCGTATCAAGACCATTTGTCAAGCACTAAAACTTTCACTGAAGAAAGTAACCAATATCCTAATATAGGCAGCTCTTCCTTTCTTTGTTTACCATCTATTTATTAGTATGTAAAGTACTACAGTATTGCACTGTGAAATATTATGTAAAATATAAAGGATAGTTGAGAAGAATGAGGGATATTTCATAGAGACTTAGAAAATTCCAATATGACAAGACAGGGTAGATGTAGGGAGGATGTTCCTGATGATGGATGTGTCCAGAACCAGGTGTCACAGTCTGAGGATTTGAGGTAGACCATTTAGGACAGAGATGAGGAGACATTTCTTCACCCTAAGAGTGGTGAGCCTGTGGAATTCATTACCACAGGAAGTAGCTAATGCGAAAACATTGAATGTATTCAAGAGGCTGCTATATATAGCACTTGGAGCAAATGGGTTCAAAGGTTCTGTGGAAAAAGCAGGATTAGGCTATTCAGTTAACAATCAGCCATGATCGTGATGAATGGCGAAGCAGGCTTGAAGGGCCGAATGGCCTCCTCCTCCTATCTTCTAAGTTTTTGTGTTTCTGTGTTTTCTATTTGCATTATTGTGATCTTAGTAGAGACTTGAAATGTATTTGGGATTTTTTAAAATCCCAATCGTTTTCTAAAAAAAATTAAGCCACATGATTTGCAGTTTAAACAGAAGTTTTTACTATACAACAGAGCAGCAAAAGCTATATATTATCTTGGGTAACCACCTGTGCTCTAAATCTAGAATCAACAGAAGTTAACCATGTAACAGAAAAACTGCTGTTTATTATGAACTCTGTTACAGATTAAACAGCAGATACAACTAAGACAGATCTTGTAAATTGGCACAGCAGGTCACAGCATAACATTAATCTCAGTCACAAAAGTCCTTCAAATTTCTTCTGTTTGCAGAGAATTTCAGCTCATCTTCTTGGAGCTAGCCTGGACCATAGCCACTAAAAGTTCACAATCAACCCAAATTCCAGAGACCTGTATCTGCCAAAAATGTCACATGTCTGTAGAACTTCCTCAACTTGGGGTGAACAATGTAGATCTACCATCGTTCTGTTCAAAGTAAACAGTCATAGAGCTGTGCATTCGCTTTTTCTTGGTTTCTAGATCTTGTCTGTCTGTGTCTGCCTGCCTGCACAATATAACAGAATTATAATCTGTTACCAAGTTTAAAGGTCTTAATGGTTTCAAGCAGCTTCAGTCATTGTAGAAATTTTAGGTTCCAATTGTAAGTTCAGGTTTAATTTCCTTGGAAACTGGTTAAGTGACCTTCCTTCCAAGGTTTACCTTTGCTCTTTTCCTTTTTGGCTACAGGATAAGTGAAATACAGCTTTGAAACCACAGATTCCATCATAACGTGAATGCTTTAACGACAGTTTCAAAAAACAAATGACAGGGCAAATATTATGTTAAGTTTATATTTATTTTACTGCAAATGTAAAAGTTCACATATGCAGCAATGAATTTAAAATAATTTCATAAAAGATGTATGTAAATGACTGGCTTCCTGGGGGGAGAAAGTCATGATTTTGACTTGTTGCCTACATCACTTTTTGTGGTGGTTTGCAGTTTATCCATACAGCTGCTTCTCTGTTTACCATTGCCATACTGAAGGAGTTTTATTTTGATAACCTTACTGATTTTTACAAAAGTCTTTCAATCTGAGACCACTAAAGTAAATTACTTCATAATTTTGGCAAAAAAAGGTTTTAGAGTCAGAGTCATGCAGCACGGAAACTGACCCTTCAGTCAAGTCAGTCCGTGCCGACCATAATCCCAAATTTAACTAGTCCCACTTGCCTGCACTTGGCCCATAACTCTCCAAACATTTCTTATTCGTGTACTTACCTAAATGTCTTTTAAACATTGTAACTGTACCCACATTCACCACTTCTGGAAGTTCATTCAAATCACGAACCACTCTGCATTTAAAAATAAATTGCTCTTTGTGTATTTTTTTTTAAAAAATCTTTCTCCTTTCAACTTAAAACTATGCCCCCTAGTTTTTAAATCCCCCACCCTAGGGAAAAGACACCTGCCATTCACCTTATCTGTATGCCTCATGATTTTCTAAACCTCAAAAGATCACCCTGCAACACCCTACGCTCCAGTGAAAATTGTCCCAACCTATCCAGCCTCTCGTTATAATTGAAAGCTTCCATTCCCAGCAGCATCGTAGCAAATCTCTTCTGAACCTTCTCCAGCTTAATGTCCTTCCTAAAACAGAGAGCCCAGAAACTGGACACAGTACTTCGGAAGAGGCCTCCAGAAGACTCTTGTACAATCTCAATGTAATGTCCCAACTCCATACTCAAACGTCTGAGCAATGAGGCAAGTGTGTTGATGAACGCCTTCCAAACCACCCTGTCTGTATGTGATGCAAACTTCAAAGAATTATCTATCTAAACCCCTGGGTCTCTCTGTTGATTTGATTAATGTCTTCTTCCCCTTGTTTTACCAAAATGCAATACCAATGTAGAGGGAATTTCCTGTTTGAGCTTATGATTTTCAGCCAGAATGAAAGAAGATTGTGTTTCTACTATTCTTTCATTAGCCAGCGTTCTTTCATTTGCTAGGCACTGATCTAGTTTACCATTGTTTTGGGTGTTTCAGGGTATGCTAAATGAGAGTGCAAGTTAAACAAGGCTAGCATGAGTGTGCGTTTGTGTGTATATGTCAGTGTGTCTCTCTCTGTCTCTCTCTCTCCACATGTCTTGCTTGTGCTCTGTGCACTCCTCTCTCTGTTTGTGTGTGTGTGTGTGTGTGTGTGTTATCTGTGTTTTTTTCTCACTTGGGCTGTGTAGATATCTCTCCCCCCCCCACCCCCCCCCCCCCACTCAATACGCACACACACACACACACACACACACACACACACAATTCCTCCTTTGGAGACTTTTGTGACCGTGTGAATAATAACATACTAATAATGTAGAAGATCTGTATAAAACAAACCGCCCTATTTCAAAAGGTGTGCCAGAGCAGGGAGACCTTTGTGTATGTATATGCAAGTCATTAAAGTTGGTAAGACCAGTAGCAGTTACTGCTGACAAAGCATGTAGTATTCTAGGCTTTGTAAATAAGGCTTTGACTGCAAGAATAGGGAATTAATGATGTACTTTTCTAATGAACTCGTTAGACTTCAGTTGGAGTACTGTGTCCAGTTAGGCCATCAAACTATGGGAAGAGTGTGAATGCTTTGGAAAGAGTGCAGACGAGGTTTATGCAAATAGTTCCAGGAATTAGATACCTCAGTTGGAAGGGAAAGTTGGAAAAGTGGGAATGATTTCCTTGCAAAGGAGAAGGCTAAGGGGAGATATGATAAAAGTTTTCACAATCATGAGGGGTCAACAACTAGAGGGTACTGTTTTAAACTGCTTTGCAAACAAGTTGAGGAAAAATTATTTTTACTCAGTGGCTAGTTAGGGTATGGAATGTACTGATTGGGAATGTGAAGCCACATTCAGTTGAGGCATTCAACAGGATATTGGATGCATATTTAAGAACAATAAACTTTTTATTAACTGGCACCAATGGGATTAGGAGTATCCAGTTGATAAAATATTCCGGTTGATCAAGAGGTACGTACAATTAATGTAAAAACACGCACTAAGAAGTAGAAATGTAATGCAGGAGGTATACACATCACTGTTATACTTTATTTACAACATACAATTTTGCCTTAAAGTTATTTATTATTTTTTAAATAAAACTTACCAGCAGAGAACCTTCTCACTTGCACCCTCAGCTGACTACTCAGAGATCGCAATAATGCACTAAATGTTGTGGTATTTGAGGTATATAATTTTTACCGTTTATCAAGTGCGTCGGTTCGTAAGGTACCAGTTAAAACATTGCGCAAGCTTGTGGGCAAAAGGCAGGCCATCAATACAAAGTCAAAATACTCCGAACTGGTATAGACACGATGGGTTAAATGGTCTCCTGCACCATAGCAATTCTGGTGATTTTTGTGGATATTTGATTATCATCAGAGATAACAGCTGAGGTTCAGCGAGCTATAACAAATATTTGGTACAAATTAATAGCAGAATATATTTCATTTTTGTATATCCAGCCCCTTACAGTTTTTGTTCCTTTTTCAAAGGAGACCTCCAACAGCACCTACAAGCAATGTTCACCCTCCTTAGACCTGAAGACAACATTAGATTGGTGAGTTATCGATGTACACGCAAATTTGTGCCATTTCAGATGATGCCCTTAACAATCAACCAATGTAACAAATAGAAATTTTACTTGGTGTAGGAAATTGTGTTTAATCTTGAATTGAACACAAAATTGTGAAAGAACACTGGGTTGATTCACTAATTCTCAACTCTACCCGTTACCCTTCACCCTAACACAAGGTCTATTATGGTGAGTTATTTCATGGTTTTTTAGATGTATGGAGTTGCAATAGCTGAGTGGATGCCATTTTGGTAAAGGAAAAGTGTTTGCTGAAAATGTGAGAATCTGTTTAAGAATTTCCCTTTCGCAGCAATCGAAACAAAGAGCTTTTTGTGGGGCATAATAAAGAATCTTGTAGCAAGTAATAACTGTTGTCTGTCTGGCCACCAAGTGTTTAGAGGTTTGATTTAGGTTTATAACATACACCCATTTCATAGGAAACATTAAGTCCAAACACTTCATGCTGCCTTTAGTTTTGCGTCATATAAAACTATACCTAGTGTTTCATATCAGCTTTATTTCCTGCAATCATGTAGCACTGTCTAGATGGTCTGGTGCCTCTAATATTAAGCAGGGGTTAAGAATTTTCATATAATGTTGGGAAGAGGAATTCTTGCAAAAAAAAATGTTTCTCTCTCCAGAGTTTTGCAGCCTATATGACTTCTGGTGAATTAAAGAGAACTGGAAATGTGATGGGTTTTATGCTATCAAAATAATTGAAGAGAATGTGGAATAATAATGAACAACATTGTTGGAGATGCCTTCTTTTTAAATAAATGTTTATATCATGGACCCTTTTGGATGGATGTGAAGTACTGTGGCAGAATTTGAAGGAGAATAGGAGAGTCTTGTCCTGTCCTGGCAAATATTTATTCCCGATTAGTGATACTAAAATCATCTATTCAGACACTGGGCTCACTGCTGTTTGTGGGTCCTTTTTGACTGCAAAATTGTGTATTGTGTTTCCTTCCATTTTACCAGTGACTACACTTAATTGGCTGTGAGATATTTTGGGAAGCAAACATATGAAACAGCAGCTGGAATAGGCTATTCTTGCCTATTCTGCCAGTTGATAAGATCGTGTCTGATCTAACTGTAGCCTCAACTTCCCTTTTCTACCTGCATCCAATAACATTTGACTCCATTGTTAGTCAAAAATCTGTCTACCTTTGCCTTGAGATTGGCAACTTGGTTTAAACTGGAGGAAATTTTAATACTTGAAATAGAGTCAACCAAAATCAGGACTCTCTTTCAACTTCTGGAAATGACTCGACAAATAATATCAAATAACTAAATAAACAGCAGTCTTGCTTCTGGAACTGAGCAATGGTTATAGTGTGATAAAGATGGTGAAAAGCAGAAAACATGCAAAATAAGGAAGCTGCTTTAAGTTCCACTTAAGTTCCACAAAAAGTCTGTCCTCATAAATGTGAATTATGTTAGCCTGGTTCTTTTAAACCTAGCACAGAGTAACAATCGCTATTGGTAACAGCTAAAAATAACACTTGTTGCTGCACGGATGTTTAGGAAGTTTGCAACTGCTCCTGGGAAAACTAAGTGCACTTTAATAAATCTTGTGATGTAGCAGGTGTTCATAAAGTACTTTAGTTGCCAAGTCTCTCAATGTGCTTCTACTGTAGACAGTAATGTTTGGGTAGAATTGTATTTCAGAAAGGTGAGGGGACCCATTCCAACACCCCTACCCCTCCTCTTAAAAACAAAACGGTATGAATTTTGAACCTCAGAATATCTTGTTTCCCATGCCTAACATGCATTTCCTAACCAGCTGCCTATCTAAAAGTCAAGAGACAAGTTGAAAGACAAAGTTCAAGCCACCTGCTGGTGGTCTGGTACATTGCAGGGCATAGTTAGTATATTACTGAGAGGGAGAGGTGGGGTGGAGAGAAAATGACACTGTAGACCCTCCATGTGGCTATCTGATAGTGCTCAGTGACCCAAAAGGACATTTGATTAAATAAAGCCCCTTTTTTTTATTGCAACAGATTTGTTGTACTACATTTTTGGAGGCTGTTTTATTTATGCTGTTCAAATTGTCCCCATGTTTTCCTATTTTTTTTCACCACCACATTAGGTAGAACTTAAATCTAGCTAATAAACCAGGAATCTACTACAGTTAGTCTTGGCACTGATGACCATGACAGTCATCATAGATTGTTATGTAAACAAACCTCATCTGCCAGCTTGCCATCCTTATTTGCTGTGGCATATATGACTCCAGACACTCAGCAATGTAGTTGACTACTTGGCTGAGCAAATAACACAGTTCAAAAGCAGTTAGTAATAGAAAACCAATTCTGATCTACCCAGTGACACCCACACCTCCATGGAAGAGTAAAAAACAAAACAGTTGTCTGGTAGTACAGAACTGGAGTATTGCTGAAGTAATAGCAGTAGTTGCCACTAACAGGATGCTGTTATCAAACCAAAAGGACATTCTGCCTGTCTCAAGTGAGTAACTTGGTATGTAAATTTCAGTGCTCGTGTGATGCCAAGTACGTAATTGTACATCCCAAAGATGGCAGACAGGCATGGTCCTCCAGCTTTTCACAGCAAACCAGGTACTTGACTGTATCTTACTAGCCCACACTTGCAAAACCTACAACGTCGTGTCCAGCATTAGGTGAGATTCCACAACTGGAGAATGTTTACTGGATAATCCTGATTTGTGCGAAGAATTATGCTGACAGCCAATTTAGTATTGTCAAACCACCTTGCAGTGTACTTGTATGTACTAGAAGCCACGTATTAATGCTCAACTCTGTTCTTTGCAGACAGAACATGTACATGTGTACTTGTTCGAGTCAGCAAACTAGATGACAGCCATTCACTGTTAAATTTTGCTTTTTGATTTAATTTGTTACTGTCACATACCAAGGTACAGTGAAAAGTGTGGTCGTGCATGCTTTACAGGCAAATTGTACCATACAAGTGCATCAGGGTAACAGAACAGAGTGCAGGATACTGCACTGCGGGGAAGTTGCAGATAGAGATCAGCATTACATTAGAGATTCATTCAAGAGTCTGATACAATGGAGAAGAAGCTGTTATTGAATCTGTTCGTACATGTATACAAACTTCTGCCTGACAGCAGAGGGTGGAAGAGAGTATAACCAGGGTGAAAGGGGTCTTTAATTATGTTGATTGCTTTCCTGATGCAGCAGGAAGCAAAGATGAAGCCAGTGGATGGGAGGCTGGTTTGTGTGATGGATTGGGCTGTTTTCATAACTCTCTGTAGTTTCTTTTGGTCTTGGGAAAAGCAGCTGCCATTACCATGCTGTGATGCATCCAGATAGATGCTTTCTATGGTGTATCTATAAAAATTTGTAAGAGCCTTTAATGCCTTAACAAATTGCCATCAACCTGCGTGATTTAAAATTTAAACAAAACCTGGCAGTTAACGTCAATCAGTAACTCATGCATTCTCCGTGACAATACCTCTACCAATCAGAGTCCACTTGTCAACCAATAAGCACTCTATTCTCATACAGTGCAGTTATTGGCTCCCCATAAATTACTTTACTTGCTAATCATCCTTATGACTGTAAAACAAGATTTTACATAAAATATTTCTCTTCGGCAATGCTTAAATAAACAGTTCCAGTGTGGTTTCTGTCTATAAATGTTTATTTTTGCAGTCTCAGCACCAAAGTTAAAAGTAATCTGTAACAGGTCAGTGTTACAAAAGCTTCATTCAATTATGCTTGCAATGTTAATTGAACAGCATTAATAAATCAAATCTTTGTTCTTACGGTGAAAAAGCAGAATTGAGTTTGAAGATCAGCCTTATTAAATAGCAAAGCAGACTCGAGATGCTGTATGATCTAACACTGCTATTTCTTATATTTAACTGCACACACTGCCATTCATGTGTGTGAATTCTTCTGGTTGCTTATTGTGTTATAATGAACAAAAATGTTGATTCACTTTTTAACAGAAATCACATTCTAATTTATTGTTTTTTCATCTGTTATAATGATGAATCCAGTGAATGAATTGGATAATTAGCAATAGTTGTAAACTTGCTTATATTGATGGCATGATGTCCAGAAGCTTTTCTCATGTCAGTCTCACAGCAGTTCATTGAAATGAATATACTGAAAATTTACCCCCATGTTGGAGAGGATAAATTGACTCAGCGTTTTGCTTTGTTGAAACTAAACTTTAAAATGTCAACCTTCTTTTGAACAAGTTTTTCTTTTGAATAATTCCAGGCTGTACGGTTGGAAAGTGCATACCTGGAGCTGACGCGATATATGGTGGTAGTTTCCACCAATGGTAGACAAGATACAGAGGAAAGTATCGTTTTAGGAATGGATTTCTTCAAGGATAGGTAAGAAAACTTCATATGTGAACTGTTGCCATTTTACCAACATACTTAAGTAATAGTGCAACTTTCAATGCTGCTTCACATAGTGAAGATATTAGATTGGCATAATAAATTCTGAAACACATAATGCAGGCAATCATTTGAGGGATTTGGGTAACACGATTAACCGTAGAGGAGTTGTTATATTTTGTAATACCTAAGCCCTCAGGAACAACTGCCTTGTAACTAGTTCTTTGTTATGTTATAGAATGTTTGTTTTGTATTGATTAAATTAGTTTATTCATGCATGTAGTATTTTCAATGTTAAAAGTTTTTTGTCTGAAGGTGGCACAGTTTAATGCTTTGACAAATAGTTGCAGTCAATATAATATTGAAAGTAGTGATTGTGATTTTAGCCATTATTAGGGAATTTGGATATTCCATGTCGTCTTTTTTTTAAGAAAAAGATGCTTATGATTACTATATCCTGTTCAAATGTTCTAAATTGAATTTGGCTGTTTATTTATTTGGATTATGAACCTTTTGATTTTGTTTTTACTCTCTGGAACAGTAGTTTATCTTGTCTCAGAGTTTCTGTCCTTCTCTCCAGCTTATTTAAACTTATTCTCCTACTGGTCATATCATATTCTTTTTAGCCAACAATTTAATATTGTTGTTTTTGTTGTGCTGTAGTATTTATTTTCACATTGTAGCAGACCTCAAATGGAATTAAATTTGCTGAAAAACTTTATTGCCAATACACTTGGATGTGAGCCCATTTATGCAAGATTATTGTAAGCAGTGTAAAATAATCTTTAGATATGCTTCACAAGAAACACAGCTGGAGCAGCATGTTTAATAATCTAGCTGGAATTTGAACCTTAAGGTGTTAACTGACTAATGAATCTCTGCACTGGAGCATTTAAGCCTTGTTCGTTAAATTCAGAAAGCTTGGTCAAAATACTATCATCAAATGAAACCTACTTAAGAGATCTTCATGTTAAAGAATAAGAGAAAAATGTAAAAGTTGCTCATGACGAAACTAATCTCGTTAGTGTAGCACACTTTTTATCTTGTGATAATGCTCGAGTCCCCTGTGTACACTTAGATTTCTGTTGTCAGCGAACAGATATAAGCTTCAATCGGTGATGTTCTATCTTAAGGCTGAAAACATTGTTTTAAAGATCTTCCTGCAGTAGCCATTTCTAATTTAACTGAACAATATGCAATATTTTTAATGCACTTTAAATTCTGTGACCAAGCAAATAACTAGCATTGTATCTGTCGGATTTATGTTGATAAATGTCTGCTTGTTGCTATGTAAACAAGACAACACATGCTCTTTATATAGTTCCATGGATGGGATTGGTAATTCTTGAACGCCATACTGTTACAGGGTGCAATTAGAAATGGTTTAAGCACGTGGCTGGGGGAGGAATTAAGAATAACCTCCGATCATTGGGAGCTTTTTATAAAACTTTCCATGAGCTCATTTTTGTGCAGTCAACACAAGTTATTTGTGTTGACTCTGTCCCTGAGCACTGCAGCTTTCTTTAGCAATGCTGTGTATTTAACCACAAGGAGCATGGTTTCCAGAATCGATTGCACAAGTGATTATGCTGAATTCTACATAATTTATATAATTTTTAAAAGTATGTATTAATTTACACTTGCAGTGCCTGGTTCAAACATTTTCTGCATACCTCAAAAACCAGTACTTGGAAAGAATGGTGTCTAGGTCTGTTGTATTTCTGTATTGCCTGGCCTTTGGGTAAAGCTAATGTTAAGGTGATCCACTTCTGAATAAAAATAAGATTATGGATTCAGAACAATAATGCACTGCACTGAAAAAATAGTCAGAAGTTTCCTCAAACAAACTACTTGCTTTTTACAACAGAATACCTGATTTTTTCTGACATACATGAGTTCACCAACTTTTGCTCTTCCTGCAATACAGATATTTAGCCTGGTTTTACTTCATCTTAAAGAAAACTATTCCACTGTGATACTCTGATACCAGGCTACATGTGGTTGTATTTATGCCACAAAAGGTGTCTGCTGCTGCCACTACTGATGCTGCTATCTAAATGGAATGATGAGGGTTTGCTGTATGGCTTCTGATCTATATTTTCACTTCTGTGCATCCTTGTATCATTTCCTGCTTTAGCCCAAAAGCCACTATAATGGAAAAGTGAACAAATACATTAGTCCTGAAACATGAAAAAGAAATCTATTATCTGTTCTTTTTAAAAACGCACATCTTTGCACAATAAGCCATTATTCTATCATGTCTCTTAACATAGTTAAAATCAAAATAATGACTAATTTTAGGTATTCATAAAACCTAACCTGGCAAAATCAATGATAATAAGGTGTAGAGCTGGATG